CGGAGACGAAGGTCATCTGGAAGCACCCTGAGTCCGGTTTCCTTTGGGGTACACACGCGCGAGCATGGTGCTCTCGGTCCCTGAGCTCTATGACATGTGACCGCCACCCGTGACCCCATGTTTGGAAGGTGCAGCCATTGCTTGTGTCCTCCACAGGGTCCATGTGCCCTTCTTCCTATCCCTGCCACTGTCTCTGTGCTTCCTGTCCTTCCTGTCACCACAGAATCATATAGCAATAGGTCACACAGTCCTCAGAACCCCTGGGGTAAGGGAGAAAGGGGCAATAAGTATCTTGGGACAGCCAGGCATGGTGGTGCACACTTGTCACTCCAGCACTTGGGAGGCTGAGGCAGGAAGATCACCATTAAGTTTCAGGCCATCCTGGGCTACACAGTGAATTCAAGGCCACCCTGAACTACCTAGTGAGACTCTGTCTCAAGAAAACAAACAAACCAACAAATAAATAAATAAAATCTTGGGACAGTGGTCCCCAGCACTGGAACATGGCTGTCCCTGCAGGGATTCGGCAAGCAAGTGCTGCAGGGGCGGACACCTGGGAGGGCACCAGGAGCCGCATCTGCACCGCATCTGGGCCGTTCTGAGTCGCCTGGGAAAGGTGGGTGCCGCTGCGAGTCCAGGGGCAGCCAGCTGGCCGGAGAGGGACAAGGTCAATGACATGGACAGGAGGGATGCGGCAGCAGGTGAAGGTGCCGGCGAAGGTTCTGGAAAGAGTTTGGCGGCCTGGTGCCTTCCCACTTTCTTTTCCCAAGTCCTCTTTCAGGGCGGCTCTGGACTTTCCTGTCACTCCGCACATACAAAGCTGCCCGCGTACGTGTGCTCAGGGCACGGCTGGAACGGCAGAAGTGGGCCTGAAGCGCTAACGTGCCACATTCCGGGCCTGTGGCAGACCACACCAATAGAACGAAGGGATGAACCCACACAGTCATTGCAGTCGCCACAGAAAAAGCCACCAACAAAATCCAACAAACGCCTTGCCTGATAAAAGCACTCAACAAGCCCCGTAGTCGGGGGGAGGCTGGTGCCTGCCCCCCACTTGGCAGCGGGGCCCTGCGCTGCCCCCAGCACGCCTGTTCACGCCACCGCACGCCTGCAGAACGCAGGCTCTGCACAGGTATCGAGCAAGGGGCTGGGGTGCAGCCCATGGCAGGGCCACAGGAAGGAACCACAGCAGAACATTTTCCTTCCCGATAGTGGCAGTGAGCAAGCCAAAGCCAGAATGAAGGGAACAGTTTCCTTGAGGTGGGCACTGGCAAGACTCCAACACTCGGAAGTTTAACAGAAGAGGTGCAAGACGTGGTTGAAAGACGTTCCAAGTAAACAGGAGATCACCGAGCATTTGTGGGCACTCCCATAAATTCAGTGCAATCTCTGTCACAATCCCATCTGGCTCCTCTTCAGAAATTCACAAGCTGGTCCCCAAATTCACAAGGACCCCAGGGACGCAGTGCAGCCCACACCAGCCTGGAGAAGAGCCGGAAGCCGCAGGGCTCAGGCTCCCTGCTTTGTGAACTTGGGGACAGACAGCTCACCACAGCAGCTGTGCAAATGGCCACCAGGCCACCAGTACAGGGAAGATGCTGCCACAGTGAGCGCTGGGGCAGAAGGGCAGAAAATAAACCCAGCGAAAGGGAAGAAGAGCCACAGTGAGACAGCACTCCACACCCAGGCGGATGGCCCTACGGGACGGGTGGAAAATAGCCAGCATCCAGCCTTAAGTGTCATGAAAGTGCATGGTGAAACCGGGGAACCCTCGCGCCTCCCTCGCCTCGCCCCTGGGGGTGCAAATGGTGGTGTCGTGGGCTGCGGCTCTCCATTCCCAGTTTTAGCCATGTACCCGAAAGCATTAAAAGCAGGTCCTCAGTTCCCTGCCCGCCGACATTCACAGTAGCGGTATTCCCAACAGCTAAAAGGCGCCCACCGCCTGCTGAATGCGGAGATATTATGTGGCCTGCACACGGTGGAGCATTTGGAACAAGTTCACCCTGACCCATGCTATGCCACAGACTCACCTTGAGCACATTCACTTGAAAGGAGCCCCACACAAAAGGTCCTACGAGGTGGGCTTGTTTCTATGACATGCCTGGAACGGTCAAAGCCATGGAGACAGAAAGCAGATTCGTGGTTGCCAGGGACTGGGAGGTTTGGGGGAGAAATGGGGAGGTGATGGCTCAGTGGGCACAGGGTTTCTGCAAAGGTGATGCAAATATGACGGAATTAGGGGTGATGGTCTCATGACTGTGTGATGTGCTCCTAAGCTGTGGACAGTACAGTTTGTGAGGATGTGGTTTACGTGTCCATGAAGTGTGCTTTATTGCTGTTGTTGGGGGTGGTTTTTTTGCCTGTTTGTTTTTGTCTTTTTGAGACAAGGTCTTACTATGCAGTTCAGGCTGGCCTTGAGCTCACTTTGTAGCCCAGGCGGGCCTTGAACTTCCAACGATCCTTCTGCCTCAGCCTCCCGAGTGCTGGGATGACAGGCGTGCGCCGCCACGCCTGGTCTGCTATTGTATTTTGAGGCAGGGTCTCACCACATAGTTCAGGCTGGACTTGAACTCACTGTGTAGTCCAGGCTGGCCTTGAACTTGTGGCAATCCTCCTGCCTCACCACCATGAGTGCTGGGATGACAGATGCATGCTACCACAGCTGGAAAAACTGCACTTTTGGAAAGTGTCCATTAGTCACTGGGAGAAAGGGTCTGGGATTCTTCTCTGGGGGCGCAAGAGCGAAGGGAGCCCGGAGGGAAGAAATTACAGGGAGAGCGTGGGGCTGCTGGACAACTTGCCTGGTTTGTGCGAGGCCCTGGGTTCTGGCTCAGGACCAAAAAAAATGTTGTGGGTTACAGGAGTAGGTATGCATTTTCTGACAAATCAGGCCCTGGGTTGCACTGGGACAAGTCCAGAAGCCACAAGTGGACAAGGATGAGGGCCCTAGGGAGAGACAGGGACAGCACGTGTGCAGGGATCCCAGGAAGCCAGCAGGCGGTCCCTTTGGCCGAGGCAGAGGCCAGCGCAGCCCGGTGTCCCCCTCAGAGCTCGGGCGCTGGAGGGCTACAGCTTGCTCTGCTTGCCACATTGTTTTTGTTCCCTCTTCTTTGTTCTCGCTAATCTTAAAGGCTAGGTTGGTTTTGAAAACCACCCCAGCTCCAATTGTGCCAGGGGCCAAGGGAAAAAGCAAAGGTTTGAATTCAACTTCTCCAGGGTTTCAAGGGAGGGCCTCCTTGGAGAACCCATCAGTGGTGGCTACAGCCACCAAGACAAGTGCAGAGGGCGGCTGGCCTGCGGTGGCCCTCTTGCTCATGGATCACCAAAGCCCTTCCACAGGGCAGGGTTGGGGCTCAAGGTTAAGGATGAAGGTGCACAGGGACCCTCCCCCTCCAGGGTCACCTCCGCACTCCTCCTCCCTCCCTCCTGAGCCTATCCTGGTCTTCCACGGCTGCTGTCCCCTCTCAGGCCTGGGGCACAGCTTGGCTGTCCTCCCCTTCCTAGTTTCCCAAGGCCAGCCCTCCAGGAAGCATGACCTGCGGCTCTCTCCAAGAAAGCCAAGGCCGCGCTCGGAACTGCTTGCCCTTCAGTGGATGACTCCAGAAAGGGACCCCAAGGATGTGGACAAGTCCAAGGTTCCTATCATCCAAGCAGCCCAGCCCTTCCTGCCAGAGGCCAGGATCCCATGATTCTAACCTGGGCCACTCCAGACCTCTCCCGTGAGAGAAACGGCAGTGACCAGCAAAGTTTCCAACAGCAGGAACTGAGAAGCAGCCGCTGGGAGGTGAGTGTCGCAGGGGACTGACGCAAAGGGCAGGAGAGGAGAGGCCAGGGCCCCTGTGCTCCCTGGGAAGGGCCAATGACGGACCAGAAGTGCCACCAGACTGAAGCCAGACTTGTACGCTACCCCACACCCAACCCAAGGCAGCCCTCTCCTTTAGTCCACTTGCCCAGAGGGAAGCCACCCCAGTATCCTGATTCCTTTGCGCTCTGTCCTCACACCCGCAGGGGGTGCCCCTACCCACCAGCAGCCTCCTCCTCCCTGGCCAACATCTCTCGCTGGCTCACACTTGCTTACCAAGCAGCCCTACCCACATACCTGTCTGCACTTCCTCTGTTCCTGGGTTCCGGCTTCCTCTGACCTTGACCTCCCTGCACTTAGCCACACAGAGCGGGACACATTTCTCTGGACACCTCACAGGGTGCACACAGAAAGTACACACACTCGGGGCTGGGGAGCCTCCGAGTACACACAGACGGGGCACAGGCACGCACTCACGTAGTCACGCCATGCACACACAGGGCCGCAGGGCTGCACGGCTGGGGTCCCGGGTGAGTGTGGGGCCTGGGGTCTTCCTGGTCTCCAGGGCTCCCTGTCTGGTTCCTGGCCCCTAGCAGAGCATGGGCATGCGAACTCCAGACCTGGGTGGCTCAAGCTAATCTCCCAAGATGCCCAAAGCCCTGGAACCCAGATTCGAGCAGAGTCAGACCTGGGATGGGGTGCAGGAGCGACCATCCGTCCCTGGGGACGACGTCCACGGCACCGTGGGGTTCTGCACCCCACGCTCATGGGCGGCGAGCTGCTCCCCGGCTCTGGGTCCAGCAGGGAGAGCGTTGCCCAGGCCCAGCTTGTTGCTATGCAACCTGCATCCCCCGCTGGCCACACAGCGCCCACGACTCCCTTCGGCACCCAGAACACCCTTCCGAGTCAGAGTCCCGGGACAAAAACACCCTGCCCCCCCCCGCCCCGCCACATCCCCAATTTCCTATCAGGGCGACGTGGACCAAAGGCTCCAGTCGCCCAAGTGGCACACCCCGTGCCCCTGCCCCGCCCCGCGCCGCCCCGCCCCCGTCTGTGGCTGCTTCCCACTGAGCGCTACCATGCCGCGAGCCCCGAGTGGGGGCTCCCTACCTGTTCCTTCTCGAACCCCGCTGCCCTCCCACGCCCCCTGCCCACACCACCTGCCCCGGCTCCCCGCCGCGCTTCCCGGCTGCCCCACCTGAAGCATCACTTTGTACTGCTCCTCCGGTTTCTGGACCACGCACATATTGCATCCCATGGTGCTGGCCGGCGGGGAGGCGGGGGCAGGAACGCGGGCGTCGGTCAGTGGTCGGTTCGCGGGACCTCGGGCCCCGGGCCGAGGCGGGGGGCCATAGCGTGCGTGGGCGGGTGCCTAGCGGC